TGTACACCCCCGGCTATGTCTGTCTTCACCTTCGTTTTCCCTCCTTCCTCCTTCCTGCTTCTCTTCCCTCTCTCCTCCGTGTTCCAAGCCCTGCGGCTATGGCCGCTACTTCTTCTTGGACCTCACAACCAATCTTCAGCACAGCAGGTACGTGGTAACCAATCTGGTATCACTCAGCCCCCCCCCCCTTCTCTCTCTCTCTCTCTCAGAGAAAGAGAGAGAGAGAGAGAGAGAGAGAGAGTTTCTCTCTCGCTCTCATCGTTGTTGTCCTCTGTGCAGGTACGCGTCACTCTCTTCCGCAGCGCAGCTATGGTGGACTTCTTCTTCAGGGGTGGGCACCTCATCTATGGCGCCGACGCGTCTCCCTCCTGCTACAACGGCGGCGATGGTGCGTGGTGTAGCGGGTACCAGCTCCGATACCAGTGCAATCAGACTCGCGTACTTTGTCACTTCACATGCATACAAACAGATGGTGAATCACACTGGCGCCTAGCGCCCAACTCAAAACTCGAAGATATGGAAACCAAGACACAGTTCAGGTGCAAGCTCGCTTCAACAGGCTATGGTGCATCAGCACCCACACATCGCAACTCTCGTCACTGTGTCCAACACCACTGTTCACTTCACACTTCAACTCCGGATCACCCTGGATACCCCACGCACGCACTCTGCACACACACGAATGCACACCTATGGCAGCTATGGCCGCCAGCTAACTCTACTCTACAAGCAGCTATGGCTGCGCTAACTCCCTCTAGCCCACTTCGCCTTCAGGCTCCTCTGCAGACCACCTCGCACAAGTCACCGTGGCAGCGCTTCCGCATGGCTTCCGCAGGAATGAATCAATGGCTGTGCGCTGCCTCTTGATTTATACTTCTGTAACTCGTTGGTCTGCCCCTTTCCATCGGCCCATGGTACACACAGTCCCCCATGGTACTTGCTGGACTGGACTGGGACTGACTGGACTGTACCGCTGACTGCATGGGGACGCACTGCTAACCTACCGCTATCGTACTGCGAACGTACTGCAGTTGGTCCACCACTTGCCCACTTGCCCACTTGCCCACTTGCCTCAGTCTAAAACGTGAGCAAGCTGCGAAAGGCCACTTCCGGACTTTCCGGAAGTCTGTGGACTTGGCCTTTCGGGACTGTAGCAGCTACGACCTTGACCTCTCAGGACTGTAGCAGCTACGACTTTGACCCTTCAGGACATCTACAGCTACGACTTCTGGAACTCTCTAAGACCTCTATTCGACAGGTCTACAAATTGAATCCCTATGTCCACACAGTCCTACAACAGACAAACAACAACTACGAAACACAGGTCACGGGTTCAAACACTCAAGGGTCAACTCGATACTGTACATGGGCGAGGTAAGGTCTGGGGATCAAACCCCAGGATCTGCATCTGCCTCTGCTAAGGTGAAAACCGTTTCAAAACACTCGAGTGGCGGGGAACGAGCCCCCCGACACTTGAAGCAGTGGAAAAACACTCAAGTAGCAGGCAGGCCGGTACCACACCAGGTAGAGGTAAATGTGCCGGGTACTCGAAGCCGAGCAGAAGAAGACAAATTTGGCATTTTTAGAGGCCCAGTAGTCGTAGGCTAGGTCTAGGCAGATACCAGTCCAACCAGTCTGAGTCTAGGGCCTGTGTCTGCAATGATGTTTCCCTCCGAAAGGGAGGAGGTACCGGTTGCTTGGAGGCCTCGTGGCCTAGGAAGTCACTCATTAAGAGGCAAGTAGGCCGCTATATCTCCAGGAGGAGCGAGGTGCTCCTCCTCATTGTCGGTGTGCAAGTTTGGCGACACACTGGTTGGAGCGCTGGCTGGAGAAGCGCTAGCATCAAGAGCAGCGCTGCCAGGGAGAAGGAAGAAGACCAGGACTAGGTGGGAGGAGCGGCAGAGGTACTTACCTGGTTATGGTGGGTGCCATCTTCATCAACTTGGTGGGTGCTGCATCTGGAAGGCCCCCGTTGGGGTAGAGCTACACCAAGAAGCTTCGGACCAGAGTCGGGCATGGCGGCCTGAGCTAGAGCAGCGATAGCTGCTTTGTGTTGTCCTTTGCACAGCAGGGCAGTGCCCTGGTAGTCCTCCATAGCCTCGGCCGTGGAAGGAGGAGGAAGAAGACTGGCCATGGCTACAGTGGACCTCATGTGATGCCTGCAGTAGAAGAGGGATTCGGACATTGATTCTGGTTCAGCCATTCAACATTGTTATTATTATTTCTTGTTTGAATAAGAGGGGAGGAGATAAGGAGGAGGAGAGTGCTTGGCGAAGAAGAACGGAAGTCTCATTGGTCTTTGCTGGTGTACATCTTCTTCTTCTTCTTCTTCTTTCCCTCTCTCTCCTCTCAAGTTCATTCATTTCTTTTTGCAATTGGACGGCATTGTACTTTCTGATGAATGTGTACTTCGAAATTGGCCAGGATCATAACAATATAAAAAATATCTCATGCATGACGTGGATTGGCCAGTATCCTCTTTTTTTTTTTTTTTTTTTAAATGAGACGATGCTCCAATCTATTCGTGTGGAGCAACACGGCTGGGAACCGGGCCCAGCGTCCCTGATCAGAATACAAAAATGAATTACCGGGGCCATTACCCGGCTTCGGCTAAGAACAATTGAAGAAGAGGGAAAACTCAAAAGCATTCATGGTCCACTACTCAAACTCTACCAAGTCACTAGAATATGTGTGTCAAAAAGCCTCCCAACCACGAAATCAGATAGGTGAAACCTATTCAATCCACCTATGACCACCACCAGCATGGCTGTTTTCAGCACGAACCAAAGCTCTTCCAGGCCTCATGCTCCCATCAGGTTAGGTTACAGAGTTGCACCACCTTGCTCCAGCACCGGTAATCATATTCAGCTCATTTATAACAATCAAGAGCCGCCAATGTCTGCCATTATATGCCTGCATCAGGCTCCATGCAATTTTCTGTGATCGAACTCGACTGCACACAAGTGCTCATTTGAGCCTTGTGAAAGAGAGAACCAGAATATCGATTATGCAGGGACATATTTACAACCTGCACTTCGCTCTGCTAAGAATATTTCGTGGCAAATCTGGAAAGCAAGGTGCAGGGACAGCATTAGCAAAATGATGAGACAAACTCAAGAAGTTTGGAAGGACGCAAAAGAACAAGATTTGGTTTTGCACCAATTGCTACCCTCTGATGAAGCCATTGATGAAACGTAACTGGTTTAGGATGCAGGGATGGGCATGTGGGGTGGACAGTGGAAAAAAATGGGAAAAGCCAGGGGTTGTTGGTAGTGGTAGGACGGAGGGGTCGTAGGGCGGATGGGTTGGTACAGGAAGATACACGAACGGTGACATTAGATGAGAAGGAGACAAGGACCGACCTATTCTGTGGCCCGATGGTACACAGTACCACACACATGCAACGGTCACTGGCTTAGATAATTTTGATTTTATTTTGAAATAAAAGGGGGAAGGCAATAAGAGCAAGAGTGGAGTCACCTACCATCAAAAGGTTATGACCTGATCCGAAAAACTTGCGGACTGTAGCTTGGAACAGCTTTTTTTCTAACCGCCTCCCCTCTTCTCCGGAAGGCAGTAGATGATCATCATCACTGGAAAGTATATTTTGACAGGGGGAGAGAATAGGAAGCCGACAGCCAAAAGAAGGGCCACATTGAAAACCGTCAACAAGGATTCACGGCAAATCAATGGGAGTTTGCCAGACTAGCTGTGAAAGATGAACCTGCATTGAGCCTCACTGCTCAACACCATGAGCGCACACACACACATTGAGAGATCACACGAAATGCACACTGGAGTCCAGATATGCGCAGCATAGAAATTCCAACAAATTATCACATTAAACAGTTTTGAAGATCCAGTCATCAAGCGCTCAACAGCGCAGAAAACAGCAACCCAATACCAGCATCCTCATCAAAGGTAGGTGACTCTCTTCTCTCCCTCTCTGTCTTCCTCTCTCTCTCTCTCTCTCTCTCTCTCTCTCTCTCTCTCTCTCTCTCTCTCTCTCTCTGTGTCCCTTCTGGTCTTCCTCATGCATGCACTCTCTCTGGTCTTCCTCATGCATGCACTCTCTCTTCCTCTGTGATGACCCGACCAAACACGGACTGAGACACACAGCTGAATTCTGAGTTTTGCTCATGGACTGAATGCCTTGCTGAGTTTCCCGCTTGCTACTAAGTTCTGCGTGTCTGTGTGTGTGCACGCTTGCTGGTCTGCATGTCTGTCTGAGTGCTGGTTGGCTTGAGTGTGTGTGACCCGCAAGGGCACCTGTTCATTCGTCGGGCCCTCGGGGCCGGTACTTACCTGTGGCCGTGACATTGAAGATTGCAGCGGGGGAAAACACTCAAGTGGCGGGGGAAGAGGCCCGCAACACTTGAAGCAGCGGGGAAACACTCAAGTAGCAGGTAGGCTGGTACCACACCCTGAAGAGGTAGATGTGCCGGGTACTCGAGGCCGAGCAGAAGAAGACAAAAGTGGCATTTTTTAGAGGTTTAGTAGTTGTAGGCTAGGTCTATGCGGGTACCAGCCTGTACGGGCAATATCAGAGTCTGCAATGATGTTTCCCTCTGAAAGGGAGGAGGTACCGGTTGCTTGGAAGGCCGAGCGGTGTGGAAGTCACAGCCCAAGAGGCAAGCAGGCCGCTATATCTCCAGGCCGGGCGAAGAGCCCAGCCTCATTGTCGGTGTGCAAGTTTGGCGACACACTGGTTGGAGCGCTGGCTAGAGCAGCGCTAGCTTGGAGCAGCGCTGCTGGGGAAGGAGCAAGGACATGGAGGAGGAAGAAGACCAGGAGGAAGGGGGAGCACCAGAGGTACTTACCTGGCTATGGTGGCAGCCATCTTCATCACCTTGGTGGGCGCTGCAGCAGGAAGGCCCCCGTTGGGGCAGAGCTACACCAAGAAGCTTCGAGGCAGAGTCAGGCATGGCGGCCTGAGCTACAGCAGCCATAGCTGCTTTTGGGTTGTCCTTTGGGCATCAGGGCAAGACCCAGTAGTCCACCATAGCCTTGGCCTATGAGAATGAAGAGTGAGGGAGGCGGCCATGGCTATGGTGGACCTCAAGTGATAGCTGCAGTAGAAGAGGGATTCATACATTGATTCTGGTTCAGCCATTCAACATTGTACTATTATTTCTTGTGTGAATAAGAGAGGAGTAAAGGAGGAGGACAGTCTTGTGTGAATAAGAGAGGAGTAAAGGAGGAGGAGAGTGTTTGACAAAGAAGAAGAGTTTTATCATTGTCTATGCTGGTGTACATCATCTTCTTCTTCTTTCTTTCTTCTTCTTCTTCTTTCTTTCTTCTTCTTCTTCTTCTTCTTCTTAACCCCTCTCTCCTCTCAAGTTCATTCATTTCATTCTGCAACTGGACGACATTGTACTATCTGATGAATGTGTACTTTGAAATTGGCCAGGATCATAACACCTCTCTCACAAACTTCCTGTAATAGTTAGCTAAGCGCAGGAACGAGCGCAACTCTGTCAGCATGCGCGGCGTGGGCCAATCTTTAATCGCTGCGATTTTACAATCTTCTGGTTTAACGCCGTCTCCGTCTAAGACATGGCCTAGGTACAAAAATTGGGCCTTTGCCCAATCGCACTTCTTTGCATTGATTTTGAAGTTAGCTTCCCTCAGCTTCTCCAAGACCTGCCTGAGATGACCCTGATGCTCTTCAAGGGTCTTGCTAAACACTAAAATGTCATCTAAGTAAACTACAACGAATCTGTCTAACCATGGCCTAAACAAATCATTCATACACCGCTGAAAAGTTGCTGGCGCATTGGTTAGTCCAGGGCATCACTATAAACTCATAATGCCCGTACCTAGTCCGGAAGGCTGTCTTATACTGATCATCAGGATGTACCTCTATCTGATGATACCCGGACTTTAAATCTATCTTGGAGAAATACTTCGCCCCCTGCACTCGATCTAAGAGATCGTCTATCCTAGGCAGTGGCTCAGCATTCTTCACTGTAATAGCATTCAGACCCCTATAGTCTATGCACATCCTCAGCTCTCCCTCTTTCTTAGGAACAAAAAGAACAGGTGCTCCAAACGGAGAGGAACTAGGCCTAATCCAACCCTTTTCAAGGAGCTCGTCTAACTGCTTGCGAAGCTCTTCTAACTCCCGTGGGGACATTCTATACACAGCACCCTTAGGAGTTCTACTGCCAGGCTCTATCTCGATACGGTGCTGGATGGGCCGCGGCACCGTGCCTGTCGGCGGCTCAGTTAAATCCTTAAACTCTTCCAGCAGCTTGGCAATCGCAGGGTCCACTGGCTTTTCTTCCATAGGCTCAGTCACAAGCCTAACATAGGCAACAAAGACCTGTTCCTCCAATTTCTCTTTCTTTACTAATCTGGCGAACGCAGGGGCACAAAGGCAACAATGTGCCAAGGGATTCTCTACTCCTGACATATGGAACAGGCGGGCAATCTTGGCCTCGCCTGAAGAACTAGGGAGCCTACACTCGTGCTCCTTCAAATGGAGCGTGGCCCCGGCTGTCTCTCCCCAATCCATCCCCAGAACAATATCAAATGGGAGGCTGTCTTCTACGAGGAGAGTCAGGGAGTGGAGAACCTTCTCCACTTTCCCATCTTTCTCTAGGCGGAAATACGCCTGGACTCCCTCTATGTAATCCTCTACAACTATGGTACGATTGTCCGCGAGGATACTAACTATAGGGTCTGCTAGCTTCTGGACTTTCCCAGCTTCAACTTCTGCAGCGCTTTCTTGCTAATACAGCTGCGGGTGGCCCCTGAGTCTACTAGGGCCCCTACTCTTCCTCTAAAAATCTCTGTATCTAGTAGTATAAGCTGCCCTTTATTCTCCTTTCTCATCTTGGCCCAGGCGGGCATCCTCGCTTTCAACTCTTCGGCCACGCCTGTGAGGGAGGTGTCTAGAGAGACTCTGACACAAGCAGTCTCTGGACAGCCGTCTAGACACCGGCCTGCAACCTCTGCCATAGGCACATGTGGTGTGGGAGTATCCTGCCAGCTAGCGTTGTGTTCCCCACATGGCCTAATGGTAGGGGCAGTTGCTACCCCTACCGGCGGCTGCCTTTTGGGCCTTGAGCAGCCGTTCGGGTCTCTCGATACTTAGGACAGTATTTGATGATGTGGCCCGGGTCACCGCAGAAAATGCACTGGCCCCGGTCCAATCGTTGTTGCCATAAAGTCTGGTCCAGACCCAAAGTTTCCCAAGGCCTACCCTGTGGTAGCCCCGGGTGCCATCCTCCTACCCAATAGGGAGACCTATTCCTAGGACGGTTTTGTGGGGGACCTTGACCCCTTCCTCCCACTTGGCGGTTTCCTCCTCTGCCGCCAACCCCCTGATCGCCTTGGAACCGGCTCCCTGAGGCCCGGCCCCCTTGGCCCTGGCCTCGTCCTCCTCCTTGCGGCCTCCCTCCGGCCGYGACARCAGCGTARGATCTCCCYTGGCCCACACCGTTGTCCTCCTCCTCTAACCCCCACTCAATCTGATCGTAGGGGATCTCGTCCACACTACCCTCATCTAAGGTCAGGACAAGGCTATCCTTGGTCTTCACTTGCCCAGAAATAGTGCGGCCCTTCCATTGCTTTCCCTTATCCAAATCTTTGTGCCAGACGGTGGAGACTGACATAGACTTGGCCTCAAAGGCCACCACCTCACGGCTAAGGGAATCGTAAGTGGTGGCAAGGTCTTCGCTCTTCGCGAAGAAGTGCCCGCGAAAAGCTTCGGGCATAGCTCTGTAAAAGAGGGCAACCAACTGGGTGTCGGTAACCCCGTGGTCAGGGACAGCTATTATTTCGTCCATTGTGCTCTTGAGCGCTCTGACACTCTTCCACTTACGAGCATGGATCGTCTGGAGCTTGTCTGAGGCCTTGACACTTCGAGCGACATCAGCAAATCGCTCACGCAGCAACTTCAAGAATTCAGTAAGGGAAGTGAACGAGGAGTACGCAACTGGATCGTCACTACAGCTAGCAGTGCGAACTAGGGACCTTGCAAAGCTGGCGGCTTCATCTCTAAGCGTGTGAATCGCAATTAGAACCTGCTGATCTGGGGAAACCTGTTGCAGATGCACATAGGTCTTGACATTGGCCTCCCAATTGTCAAAGTTCTCTTCCCGTTTTCCACTGTAGGAATCAGGGAATTTGACTTTGACCGGCTCCCGGCGAGGAGGACGTGCTTCCTCCTCCTTGGGAGCTGCCGCTTTAACGCCTTCAATAGCGCCGGCACAAAACCGCTCAGTCTTGTCAAGGCGGTGGCCCACGTCGGTTCCTACAGCGCCTACCAGCTCGCGAGCAAGGTCCCGGAATCCCAACCGTATCGAACGCACAGCTATGTGCTGGCTCCTACTAAAGTCGTATTGCTCTGCCTGAATTCGTGCCAGGCGTGCAACGTTTCGGGCTATGACTCGCATTTGGGCTGGGAGTTCGGTCTGGGCGGCTAATTGCTCTTCTATCTTTTTTACCTCCTCTAATTCTTCTGCCGCCTCCGCTGCCGCGTCCACTCTCCTCTTCTTCTCCCTCATCACTGCCAATCTCCATTCCATCCTCTTCTCATCTTCCATCGCCTGCCACTTTACAACATTTTTTTCTGCTTCCCAAGCTCTCATAGCGGCTTCCTGATCGTCCTTAGAGATATACATCGCCACCTCTTCTTCTTCGCCCAGGGATAAGTTGGCGACCCACTCTGAGATCCGCTTCTCCATCTCATCATCCCTGTTGCCACTGTACCGCCCCCTCTTTCTTTGCAGTGGCGTTTCATCTTCCTCCTATTCCTCGTCCACCTCTTTCAACTTCTCCTCTTCTTCCTTCTTTAACCTCTCCTTCTCTCTGGCCATCTCTTCTTCTATCTTTTTTAACTTGGC